CGTAGGTAGTCTCTGTCTTCTACTGGTACCTTGACTTGGGAGAACATTGCTTCTATGTCTGCCATCAAGGCCACGGGCTCTTGCCTGAATCGGGTCAACACGCCAACCAGAGTACTGGTCAGGTCTGGACCTTGTAGTAGCTCTTTGTTCAGGGATGTGCCTGCATACGGTGCGGCACAGTCGAAGACGACTCTTATCTTCTTCTTTTGTGGATGGTACACTCCATGATGGGGTATGTACCACACTTTGCCACCATTTGTATCTTCCGTTTCCATTTCTTCTGATGGCACCTTTTCCGCATATCCTCTTTCTATCACAGTTTGCACGAACTGTACATAGTCTTCCTTGAACTTCTCGTCTTTGGACATCTTCTTCTGCAGATGTTTTGCTCTTTGTAGGGCAACTGACTTGTTGTTTGGTAGAACTGGTCTGCTGTTTCTGAAGGGTAGAGGTACTTGATAGTGACCCTCTTCTTTCTTCGTCCCTTCTGACATGATGTTCATGAACCTTTGATCTTCTACAGACATCTCTTTCTTGTCTTCAATCTTCTCGTTGAAGTCGTTGTTGAAGTACTGGGTCAACTGCTGTTCGAGACTGATCCGGTTGACACTTGCCATCTTTCCATCACTGGCCCCCATGAGAGGACCATTAACGGACCATCCCAGCAATGTCTTGATTGCGTAAGGTCCCCCTCCTTGACTGTTGATAATACGCCATGGCTCCATGGCGCTCTGCACGTTGTTACCAATCAGCAAGCCAATATCTGCGTTAATTTTGGGCATCTCTACTTCCCTGAGGTACGGCCAAGCCTTTAGATCCTCTGTCGAGATAATGCGTTCCTTGGAAACTGGTATCTTCTCCTGCACGTAGGCGGTGGGGATCGGAATACAATTATTCCTTTCCATGTCCAGCACTTCCAAGTCGCCCAATACTTCGCTTTTCACCTCTTTGGTGCCATTTATGGTGCTGAGGGACAACTTAGTTTCCCTTCCTTTTGACTTCAACTGCCTTTTCAAGGCTTCTGTACAGACCACTACGTCACTTCCGTTGTCGAGGAGTGCATAGGTCTGCACAGTCTTTCCTGACTTCTTGCTGCGTACTGCTACGGGAATGATGGGTGGCACACCCTCCTTGCTCGAATGCTTTACACATCCCACTGACGCTTCCTTGTGAGGTGTGTCTCGGTGCAAAACTGTCGGGTGCTGCATTTGACAAGTTGTGCAGGTTGCCTTTTTCCAGCACTCTTTGGCTAGATGATTTGTGCCGCTCAAGCATCCGTAACACAAGCCTTTCTGTTTCACGTAGTCCAGACGCTCTTTGTACGGCTTTCCGCCCAACTTCTTACACACAGTTAAGCCGTGGCTTTCCGAGTTGCAAAACTGGCAGAATGCTCTGTTTTGGTTTGGCTCCGTCGTTACCGCCAGGCTAGAGCCCCTTGCTCGGTCCCTTTGGTAACGGGTTCCTGGATTTCGTTTGAATGACTCCTTGGCTGACTTGTCATCAAACATGTCATTCGATGATACTTGTTCTTCTTGTTTGACGAAGTCTACTAAGTCCTTGAACTTAACCCTTCCTTGCCGTTGGATGTCGTGCGACTTACGTCGCCATCTTTCCTTCAGTCGGTAAGGAAGTTTTCCGACCAAGAGCGCGATGTTGGTGTAGTGGTCCAGCTCTTGGAGATACTGATCTCCCTTTATTGCGTTCAGGCATTTTGTAAGGAAGAGACTGAACTTCCTCAAGGCAGGCTTGACATCATGCTTGATTTCCGACCATCTCTTTGCCTCTTCAGCATACGCCCGTGATACTTTAAATGGCGTACCATACCGTTCCTCTAGCAATCTCTTTGCTTCTTTAAAGCCTTCTTCGGGGTCCATCAGGACGCAACTTGTTACCAACTCCCTGGCTTCTCCCCTGGTATACTGCCCCAGATAATGAAGCCTGTCTTCTGGGTCCTGTGTTTTATCCTCTATGGCATGCTTAAATGCCTTTATAAACTGGGTATAGCTCAGGGGGTCGCCTTCAAATGAAATGATCGCCCTTGTTGGCAAGCTGCTTTTCTTGTTATGTTCCATCATTAACTTGGTAACCTCTGCTTGTTGGTTTACCAGACCTTGAAGGAATTCTTCTGGTGTCGGGGAATTCTGTCTTTCCCTGTCGCGACGACTTGTCGATGTGAAGCTAGCTGCTTCCGGGTTCAGGGATGTTTGATAGGGCTCCTTCTTCACTGTCGGGGCCGTCCTGAACTGGTCACTTCTTTCCCCCTGGTGCTCACTAGTTGGCGGCTCAAAGGGTAGGCGGATCCTTGGCTGTGGCTGACCGTATGCCTCAAAGTTGTCAATAACCTTGAGCTTGGCCTCCTCTTGTGCCATTTCGGTTCTAACCTCTAGCAGCTCCTGCTGCCTTCTGAGCTCCATCTCTTCTCTTTTTATTTGGAACTCCTTCTCTTGCAGTTTCATCTTCTGGTCCAATGCAGCCGCCTTTTCCCTCAACTCAGCCCTTCTTAATTCTGCTCTCAGCCTAGCGCTTGAGGCAACACTGGAACCTTGCGAGCATGCTTGTGACACACTGTCGGACGGTCTGATGCCCGTCTCTTCTTCTTTCTCTGAAGTCAGGTTAATCCACTCATGGACCCTGTCTCTGAACTGATCTAACTCTGCAAAGCGTGGTCCTACCCATTTCTCTGTGTCTTCCTTCAGCTGATCTGCATCTAGAGTGGTCTGGTAATCACCACTGGCCTCTTCAAGGTCACAGTAGGCCTTCTGCCACTCTTCCATACCTTTCTGTACCTCCGATAAGTCGTTCCGTTCCATTAACGATTTTAGCACGTTTGATTTGTGCGTTAGTCGGCCCAGGACTGCCGATCTGTGAGTCTTCTTTCTTCTACTTTCTTCTTCACTGACCCAGTCAGCTTTCTTAGGTACTCGTTTTTGTAAACCTTCTGTTTCCTCCTCTACATGTCTGTCTTCTCTGACTGTAGAGCGGTCCTCGTCTGACTTCTTATCAGCCATTTCCAAATGGCTTCAATTTTTTCTGCGAGAGGCCTAACTTACAACTGTTTAATTTGTACTCCTTTATTTGAGTCCTTACGGTATTCCACAGTTCTCCTGTCTGATTCAGCACAGGCCTCTAGAATTTCTTCTAGCCTAACAGGCACCTTTTGCCATGTCAATCATGTAGCTTCCAGTAAGTGTACTCGTAAACTACAAATCTTTTCCAACAGTTCCGATTAGTTTGCTGTTGAACCTGTGTGTTCAAGTGTGCTGCACAATACAATGATACTCAATGGTCTTGCACTTGACAGTTCCTCATTTTACCGTTTTTAGGTGGAATAGTCCTTCTTGAATTTGCAGACTTACGGTAGGTCTTTTAGCAGGGTGTGTGGAAGTATGACTTTCACATCTGCTTAAGCCATCTGGCCTGTCAATCATGTACGACTAAACTTCTCCCAAATGTCCGTATGGGAGCCTTTGTATGCTATGATCCTATGGGTTTTTCTCAACACAGTGTCTATGTGTTGCTGAAATGGCTCTTGTGCTCGGAAATACTGAAATCTTTACCTCCAAAACCGAAGTTGCTTCAATTAGCTGTTTTACGGTAAGGTTCCCTTGTGCAGGAGGGTTCTGCCTGCTTCTCTCGTGGGCGAGGTCATTAATCAAGTCAGCATTCCTACATGTCAAGCGATCAGCACGGCTAGCAGATAAGATTTCTCAGCTCAAGAAACCCTTTGTTCTGCACAACTTTCACTAGATCTCTCTTGATAAAGCAAACACTTTCTTGGAGTTTTCTCATGCACTCTTACGTGCCATGCAAAGTTCCAAGCCTTGTTTCTTCACGTAGATTCCAACTTCTATGGACCTCTAGTGATCTAATTGCAACTAGTCTTTACTGTAATTGCAAACAGTCCTTTACTTCTTCGATGTAACTTCCGTCGAAGACACACAGTTTTACTTGACACCTCCTGTCAAGACCACCAGTTTTACTGTAGGCGCAGCACCACTTTACTACTGTGGCTGCTGCTATTCTGCATGGGATGGACGTATGAGGAAGTGTTACCGAACTCACCTCTGTTGGTCTTCAGGGAAGAAGTCGTACAAACTGATTGGAATACGTCATAAATGTTTAATCTTCAGTAGAGTTAGTAATACAAACTGAAATCCGCCCTGTTCTACTTCCGCCGTATAAGTTCGATGTTTCTGAATTTGCTGGTAGAGTTCTTGTTGGTAATTGTATTCCTAGGGCAGTTTGCTTTCTTGATCCCAATTCGAGGAACAAAGCACAAGTTCTTGACAAGTTCTTAGCAAGTTCCTGGTGAATTCTTGGCTAGTTCTTGGCAAGTTCCTGGCGAGTTCTTGGCGAGTTCTTGGCGAGTTCTTGACGTAAAACTGGTATGGTCTCATCGTCCTTCCACAGAATATCCTCTGGTATCTCCTGGACCCTCTCTGTCCAGGCCTTTGATAATCCTCTTCTGGATTTCCTGGATCCTTGTATCCAGGCCTTTGTAATCCTCTTCTGGTCTTTCCTGGGACTTCTGTGCCCAGGCCCTTTTTGGTCCTAACTCACGAACCACACCAGACTTCTGTCTCTCTGCTTGTGCCTTATGCACTGCCTGTCGCCTTGTCTACCTAAGTCCCAGACAGACGGGCTCCCTACCCTGGAGCTCAGGGGGGCAGGGAGTTGGCGGGAAGCTATACTAACTTAATCTACTGGCGGGAAATTCAAAATTGGAAGTTGGCACTTACAAGTGTTGTCTTACAAGGTCAATTTTACATCCAACTTAGAACAATTCTAAGACAAAGTCAGCTTCAAATCAATTGAGCCAACTGATATCTAACTCTAAGTCTTGGCTACAGTCACAGTGCAGTGTCCATACAGCGGCTTTGGCAGATCCTTACATAAGACCATGGTGTCACTGTTCACGTTGTAACACTGCACCAAAGCATAGGTTTCCACCTGGCGCAGAATACCGTTTCCGTCAGTTACGAGCTGATGCACCCTGCCGCCTGATATGTAGATCTCCTCACCACAGACCGTGGCACTACAGTGCTGCCATGGAAACAGTGTGTTCGCCATGTCCCTAAAGGGCTCATATGAATCCTCTGGATCAAAGCACAGCACACACTCCAACTGTCCACCAACTATGTAGATCCTATTGTCGACCGTGCACGCTTGTATGCACGACAAAGGGTATGGCAACTGCACATCGTCATCACACGTCCAGTTGTTCTGGGCAGGGTTGTACCGCTGGACAGCATCTGTCTCATTCCGCATGAGATCATTACCTTCATAAGGGTAAGGCTCGCCGCCGAAAACATAGATCTGTCCACCGTAGGTGGCTATACCAAAGCTGCTCACTGCAAGCTTCAGCGGTGCAACCTTCTTACAGCGGTTTGTCTTCTCCTTGTACACCTCTACGTCGGGCAACCGTTCGATGGCCTCTCCGGATCGAGAGTAGTTCACTGGGCGGGAACCACCCACCACATACACCTGTCCCTGCAGAACTGCCATCCTGTGATTGAATCTGCCTTTCTTCAGACTTGCCAGCTTCGTCCAAGACTTCAGAGCTGGCCGGTACCTCCAGGCTTGGGTCAGGGACTCGTGACCCCCCGTCACAATGACATCACCATCAACAACACATGCTGCTATCCCCCTGCTGTCATGAAAGGGTGCAGGCAGTGCACTTGTATCTATACACTGAGAGTCAAGGCCAAGTGTGTAGACACTACTGTTCATATACAATCTTGGCTCCACCTCTCCGCGAACATTTGCACAAAGAACAAGTCGAGAACCACCAAGAACAAGAAAGTCCTTCTGGAGCATTTGTCGAGGTGACGTGTGCGTAGACTGGCTCTTCATCATCTGCTTGATTCCTCGAACACCCGCCAACACTTCATCTTCCTTTAGGATGTTCTTGAGATAGTCTTGGTCCATACTTGAGAAGCAGACACACTTCAGCAGTTCCTTGAGGTGTCCTTTCCGTTCTTTAAGATCGTGTCTTGCCCAAAGCATGATCGCTTCCAAGATTTGCTCCTCCTTGGCCAGAAGGCGCTCATCTGAGATGTACATCTTCAGCAGATGATAAGGGAGTTCAAGAAACTCCTCGGTTGTGCACAACTCCTTGAACCATTTCAGTGCCCAGCATTCTGCTTTCTCGGCTAAACTCGTACATGACACCCTGTCAGCCAGCGCCCACGTTCCCAAGCACGTGTCTTGGTTTATGTGGGGTTCCAGAAAATCCTCGCATTCGTCACAGACTCCGAGAAACTGCAGCATGTCCGCTGCTTGAAACAGCGCATGGACGTTGTCAGTCGTTATGGTGATTTTGGATGCGTAGGCGTAGTCTACCAACTGCTGCAGTGCCTCTGCACTCACTCCTCCTATCTCTATCTTGTCCTTCCTGCTCTCGCTGTGGCTCCCGTTGAACATGAGCTTGAAATATTCACTGTTGGCGGCCAGAACCAGACGGTGACAGGGGATCTCTTTTTGCTCGGCACTCAGAGTCACGTCCACTAGCATACCCTCCGATCTCATGTTCTGCAATTCTTTGAAAAGAGCTGACCATTCTTCTCTGGTGTGACAAACGTTAACTGATGATGGACAGGGATCCTCTTCCATAGTCCTAAAAAAGAGGAAGACAAAGAATTCAGAGATGGCAGACTTTACCCCCCCCCCCTCATGACAGTAAAAGTTTTCTGGCAGAAAACACAGAGAAACTGTACTGCCTCCTCTGTCACACATGTAACGTTATCATGAACAGAAACTGCGTTTCACTTTGCACATATATAATACTCACAAATAGACTCTAAGCCAAAACAACACATTTTAACAATATACTTTACTCTCTGGGGTCTCTTGATCGATATTGAACTTGTAACTTGTACATCAGTAACTTTCTCAGGTCCCTTCATAAAAGAACATAACCGTTACTTCTCTACCCCACACCCCAATCGAAAGCACCGCAGTATAGAAGTTATTTAGAACACTAAAACAACCGTTACTTCCAAAATAAAACAAACACTGAGAGTACACTAAACTGGGTAACTCTTCTAGCATTCGTGACATACATGTACTTACTGTCTCTTTCTGGCAAAGGCAGGTCGAAACGCAGAAGTTCAAACGAACCGATCACCAACTTCCCCACGGCAAGATTGGGCATGTTGCATGTTGACACCGGCAGCAACGTAACTGATTGGAAGAGTCTATTAAATAAAGGGGTGTTTTCTTCTAAACGCTGATCTTTGAAAATGACGAGACGAGCAAAGATGCCAAATAAGCTTTTTCCGACATAAAAGAAAGATGTAACTAAACTAATGCTGTGTTGAGAAATGTGTAGTGTAAGACGCTTGAAAGTATTTTCTTACTCTTAGAATTTAGATTGCCTTGGTCTACTGTACGGCTATGGTTCAGTCGGTCTCTGTCAGTTTCTTAGAAATTCAGCCAGTGGGCGTTAGACGTGTTGTGAGATGACCACAGGAAGTAAAACCCCACGGGGACAGCTGGCTACTCTCCAAGCAGAGGTTGGTGGGGAAAATTGTGAGTTTTTCATCAGATGCCACGTCTTCTGTCGCTACTCTCCACAGTAACGTTACAAACAAGAAAAACTGGCGCGAAACTTGCGAAGAAATGGACGAGCAAGGGTCGACTGAACCATTGTCGTATAGGGGATCAGGGTTAGGTAACTTCAAGCTAGGATCTAAAAAAGAAACTCCCAGGCGTCTTATAGTACGCAATTTGTTAAGTAGTAAAAAATGATTAATGACTATATCAGGAAAAACATATTTCATATCTGGACCTTGTCTCTCCCTCTTTTAATCCAACGTTTGTATGGAAACATCCCCTTTTCTTGAATAGACTCTTCTGGTCAGCTGTGTTGCATCTCATTCCCATGTTGGTGTCAACAACATGCCCAGGCGGCGTGCTTTGCGAAGTCGACGATCAACTCTGTTTGCACAATAATTTCTTCGACTAGTCTGTTCCAGGAAAAGAAAGTAAGTAACGTTATATATGCCACGGATGCTAGAAGATAATACCCCGTTCAGTGTAACGTTATTATCAGTATTTTTATACGTTGAATTTTGTATACTGCGGTTCCTTGCCTGGTTCCTTGGGTCGGCTTGGGGACCTCGTGTGTTTGGGGAGGGGGGATGCTTCTAGCTTTTCGAGTAGAGTAGAGTAGAGACTTCTTAGAAGTTAGAGGGCAGCCAGCTCTGGGGCAGCGTTGAGGAGCGGTAAAAGCTATATCGTTATTCTTTCATTGAGCGACCTGAGAGACTCAAGTTCAAGCTAAGGGGTTGAACCTCAATAAATTGTTTTGATCGGGCCAGGCCGTTGTTTTTGATTCGACAGACATGTTTTCGTTACATACATAAATACATGTATTGTGCAACTTGTCTTCATCAATATTTACAGATGATTTGCGAGAGCAAAAACTTTCCCAGTTCATCCAAGCTCATTGGTTCAAGTGAAGAGAGTATTTAGTACACAAATAGTTGCGTTACATTTGTAAGGGGTAAGGGGCCTGGGGGCTGTCTGTTGTTCTGGCAGAGGGTCGATCAGTGTGTGTCGTATGCAAATTATGCAGTTCACTTATGCCACATGAGACAGTTTCTGTGTGTTCCGCCAAAAACCTTTTCACTGTCATATTAAAGGGGTTGGGGGTCAAGGCTACCATCTATGAAATTGAACAAAATACATGTATATGTCTCTCTCTTTGTTAGGACTATGGAAGAGGAGACACACTGGCTCCTAGTTGAAGTGCAGAAAATGCGGTCAGAGGGTCTGTTGGTGGACGTGACTCTGTGTGCCGAGGGAAAGGAGATTCCCTGTCACCGTCTGGTTCTGGCTGCCAACAGCGAATATTTCAAAGTCATGTTCAATGGAAGCCACAGCGAGAGCAGGAAGGGCAAGATAGAGATAGGAGGGGTGAGTGCAGAGGCACTGCAGCTTTTAGTGGACTATTCCTACACAGGCACATTCACCGTCTCAACTGACAACGTCCATGCCCTGTTTCAAGCAGCGGACATGCTGCTGTTTCCACAAGTCTCTAAACAATGCGAAGAGTTTCTGCAAGAGTATGTGAGAGAAACGTGTTTGGAAACGTGGGCGTTGGCTGACAGGTTGTCGCGTACATGTTTAGCAGAGAAAGCGAAGAGCTGGGCACTGAAATCGTTAGGTGTACACAATCTGTACCTAACCAAGGAGTTTCTTCAACTTCCTTTTCATCTAGTGAAGGCCTATGTCTCAGACGAGGGCCTTTTTGCCATGGAGTTTCAAGTCTTGCATGCGATCCTTCTTTGGGTAAAGTACGATCTTAAAGAACGAGAAGAACACCTCAAAGAGCTGCTGAAGTGTGTCTGCTTCTCAAGTATAGGCCAAGACCATCTCAAGAACTTGTTGAAGGAAGAGAAAGAGTTGGCAGGTGTCCGTGGGATCAGGCATATGATGAGGAGCCAGACTGTGGATGTGGTACCTCGCCAAATCCTCCAGAAGAACATGCTGGTCATCGGTGGTGTCAGAAAAACCATGACGTCATTGAACGACCTAGTCTACCGACTGAATCTCGATTCTGAGTGCGCTGACGTGAATCCGCTGCCGAAACAATTTCAGGGTAGTCGTGGAATGGCGGTGTGCACCTTCGACAATGACGTAATCGTGACGGGTGGAGACAAGTCTATGTCGCAAGCGTGGAGGTACAAACCACATCAGAACTTGTGGGTCAAGCTGGCGAATCTGCGGACCAGACGATACGACCACAGGATGGCAGGTTTGGGGGAAGAACTATATGTAGTTGGTGGTGCCAAGAATCGACGCATCAGGGAATGGACAGACGGTCCAGAGAAGTACATGATACCTGATGTTGAGGTATACGACAAGAAGAGCAACCGTTGGAAACTAACAAAGCAACTACGAGTGGCTGTGAGCAACTTCGCCATAGCTGCCTGCCGAGGGAAGCTCTATGTGTTTGGTGGAGAGACTGATGAGGATTTTGCGACTCTTGCCGTCCAGTGGTTCGACCCAAAGAACGAAAAGTGGTCATTGGACCCGTGGTTGTTGCCAGAGGAAGAGAGTGGTCTAAGTGCGTGCACAGTTGGCTCCAAGATCTACCTGGTCGGTGGAGTATTAGAGGGCGTGTGGTGCTTCCATCCGGAAGAAGAGCGTTTTGAGGCTCTGGCCGACAAACTGGTGCCGTGGGACTGCTGTAGTGCCACAGTGTGCGGGGGAGAGATCTACATAACCGGTGGCTTGGCCCATGATGAATTCCGTAACTTGGATGGCACATGGGGTAACCCTGAAACCTTGCCCTACGTGCAGTGTTACAACGTGAACAGTGACACCATGGTCTTGTGTGAGAATCTGCCAGAGCCACTGTATGGACACTGCACTGTAACCATTGACAAGTAGTGGGGAGCCTTTTTGCACAATGTGTTACTCAGCCTGAGCATTGTTTTCAAAGTACCTCTTGTAAAATTGACCTTGTAAGACCTGGAGGTAAAATTGACCTTTGGTTGACCTTGTAAGAACTAGATGTAAAATTGACCGTGAGTTGACCTTGTAACACCTGGAGGTAACATTGACCTTGAGTTGACCGTGTAAGACCTGAAGGTAAAATTGACTTTGAGTTGACTTCGTAAAGTCCTGGAGGTAACATTGACCTTGAGTTGACCTTGTAAGACATGGAGGTAACATTGACCTTGAGTTGACCTTTGACCTTGTAAGACATGGAGGTAAAATTGACCTCGAGTTGACCCGGTAAGACGGATGGATGTTAAATTGACCCCAAGTAGACCTTGTAAGACCTGGATGTAAAATGTATGTTTGATAATCTATTTAACATGTTTGAAAAGCCCACATAATGCAAACTTATGAAACATGTAAGCTCATCTCTAAGTGTACAAAATCATATACAAAACAACATACGAAGTTATCGTGTGTGAAAACTTTTATTGCCATGAAAAAAGTTGTCAACATTATTCTGTACCGTATGTCTAAAGTTCTCGGTTCTTATTAAGTAGTCTAACATTCTCCCTAACACCATAACCAATACAAATCAGGAGGCCAAAAGACCACATCAGCTTGGTGGGTAAGTTAGCTGTGGGGATGTGCATAATATATGTAATCACAATGATATTCCAGACTTAAATGATATATAATGTTTTAAATCACAAGGCTGAGTCATGTCCTCTGGTAGATGTAGGTATAATAAGTATTGCAGAACTGTCATGTCCGTAACCGACGTTTGTATCAGTATACGCCCATTTGCATATACGTCATTGTCATTTTTTGCAGGAACAGAACTAATTTTACTATATATACTTACTGGCATTTCCTACATTTATCCATTTACATGTAGTTGCAAATGAAACATTAAGTGGCTATTAGTTTGTCGACATCAGCAAATTGTACTAATAAACAAGTATTACAAATGCAAGACTATTGAATTGCCTTTTCTAAATGTTTCTTGACTAATTATCAGCTGTTAACACTGAAGTTTACAATCACTCTTTTCATTGGTTTTCAAAGTACATATAACGTTATATTCTAGAAAACCAACAAACGCCGCACACAAGATAAGTGCTACACACAAGTAATAACAAACCTGAAAGATCAGGAAACCGTCACCGGATACATACTAGAACCCTAATCAAATTGATATTAATCGCAAACAAAAATCAAAAGTATAACATGTTTCCACTTCGAACACGTCTTATCATGTCTAAAATTATCAGCAGTTGTTTGGAATTCCAGATTTCTTTTTTCTTTTTCTCTGGGAGTACAATGAAGGGTAAGAAACGAGCGATTCAATCTACCAGCTACCATAAGATCAAGAGGCACCAGCTCAGGTCATTTTGGTTCAATTAGCTACAGTGTCTCCATGGTATGAAGTTGTTCAAGGACAGAAGAAGCGTTGGGCCTTTTACTATAGTTCCCATCGAGCATCGACAAAACCAGCTGTTTGAACCGCCGATTCACATTTCCCTTTAAGATTTTGTCCGAAAGATCCGCATGAGGGTTATCACACAGATATTCACCGAAAGGGATTGGGTCAGACACATATGCCACCACCTTTCCCTCATATCGCTTTCCGTCAACCATAGCTACAAAAATGACGCCCATTGAGAACACGTCACAGTACATTCTGTAGCTCTCCCCTGTCTCACGGGCTCTGAACACTTCAGGTGCCAAAAAGAACGGCGTACCACACGGAGATATTATGCTGTAGTGTTCTATCAGCGAGCCGTCTCCAACCCCACAAACTTTCGCCAATCCAAAATCCCCCACTTTTACAACCGGGGCGCTAGAATTCCCGGTAAGCAATATGTTGTCAGGTTTGAGATCTCTGTGTACGATGTTATTGTCATGGAGAAAGCTGACCGCACTAGCAATCTCCTTCATCAAACGGAGCTTCACATCTTTACCGGGGTTCTGTTCAAGCAGGAAATCATTTAGGTTTCCCTGTGAACAATATTCCAACACCAACCACAGGCTGTTATCTTTCACAAAATAATTGATAAACTTCACAATGTGAGGATGAGACTTATGTTCTAATTGCGTTAACGGTATAAGCTCCTTTTCGGCCGAACGTCGCTGATTTTCGTTGTCCATCTTCAGCTTCTTCAGAGCGACGATTTTGCCGGTAGTGCGATCTGTGGCTCTGTAAACCTGCCCAAATGCTCCTTCCCCCAACAGCTCACCCACTTCAAAGTTGTCGGGTTGTGTCCGTTCCATTTTTCTTACCTCTGCAAGCGTCAAAAAAGTCATCAGATTTGAAATCCTTTTTATCAGTGTTTGGGAAGGCATGGCTGACTCAACTTTGCCTACAACTCACAACGTTGTTACCAGGTACTACCACCGTTATGCATGCCCATATAATTAGAATTCTTACCTTTCGCAAATCTTTGAATCCTCTTTCCCAATCAATAGCTGTCGATCGTACCTGGAGGGTTACTATATCAATTTCCGTAACCCTGCGAGCACAAAAAGGGGGAAGTTAAGGGCCTGGAGTGAAAGATGGAAGCGCGAAAAGCCAACCTCCAACTTACTTTCTTGATTTCTGATTTAAAACATTTTCCTTTGTACGTTAACTCATACCATTTACTTCCATATTTCTGTTGTAACCACCAGTGCGTAATGATTGCATCTTGATAAGAGCTGACTGCATACACTCATGCATGGATATGATCCCACAGCCGAAAACATAGCCTCTGTCTACCATGCTTCGGGAGGGGTGCGGCAAGCTGTTCCCTCCAGCAGACCAACTCCCCTGGCATGCTATCTCTCTATTTGGCCGATTTCCACTCTTTCTATCCGCCTCCCGAAGCCTGGTAGAGGCTACCGAAACCATGTCAAGAGCAATTTATGTGACCGATGGATCCAGCTCATTAATATTACTCCTATTGTTGTCCTGGGCGCGCCACCGTGAAGGTACACAAAAGAACACGAAAACGAAACCTGTAATTGCTTGTACTTCCACTTCAAACGCCGCATTAAAATACTCCACTGTGAAAATACTCTATACATGAGTCATCTCCTCAGACTTGTAGGGCGGCGGCGTTATTTTATTCGGTGAGGCGACGCGAATTATGCCGCGGAGGGATCCGGACGATTTTGCCGTGGAGGGACTTTAATTTTGCCGAGAGACCTGGGCAGCGAAACCGTCTCTCGAGCTCCTGGGCAAAACTCGCTCGGGGTAAAATCGTCCCTCCGCGGCATAATTCGTAATTCGCGTATAACGCCGCCGCCCTACAAGTCTGCGAAGGAGGCTAGAGTCATTTCATATTCACACCCAAAATAAAATGTTGACAACCGATCAACGAAAAGAAAAAAAACTCCAACGTACCATCTACATACATTACATAGATGGATTTCGCAGAGCAACGAAAAAATCCACACAGAAACTAAAAACAGGAACAACAACGGCTTATATGGCTTTAAATAAGAACGACAAAAAGGGTCACCACGCCCCATAATACTGACCATGATAGATTTTGCAACATACATCCTCAAACATACCGAAAAGCGCACAATAGCTAGGGATATACATTTTGTACATATTACGTACAGAAACTTTCGATTATTTAAGAATCGAAAGTTTATTGTTACATTGGCTCATGGTGCCACTGGCCTCCAGTAAAGCAGAAAGGCCGGCATGACTTACTCGACTCTGCCTACGACGAAACAGACGCATTTTACACTTATGACTCACAACGTTGGTACCAGATCCTACTACGGTTATGCAGGCCAATGGCTGTGGTGCAGATATAGATGCAGACCCGACGTGGCCAGGAGCTTCAAGCTCCTTTATAGGCAGACCTTACCAGCGTCTTCAAGCTACGGTGTGTTTCGACTCTGCAACTTCCTCTGTTTCAGGTGTGGTTCGTGTGAACCTGCAATTGGTTGTTGCCTTAGCAGCTGGTAACGTCATTGCAGTCTGGTGCCCAGGGTCGCTAGGAGCGCACAAAAGATAGAAGGCCATAGAACAGCCGAATAGTGTTTGTTCTCCATGACATCGACATTCTACATCCAATCCGTTATTTAAAAAAAAAATCCGTTTTTGCCTGAGGGCACGTCACGGGGGATTTCTTTCAGCAGTGCCGGACAATACTTCACATCAGTGTAGGTGAGTCTGGATTTTGTCTTTGATGAGCTTTCTTTCACCTCCTGAGCAAAGAAAGGAAGGAGGGAGAGAGTCTGACCTCTATCCCCCTTTCAGGGCACTTGCATCAACTTCTTGATTATTTCACCAAGATTTCACGAATTACATCGACATCAAACTCAGCCACATGATTGCAATTTGGAGTCGCAAAACAGTTTTCTAGATACATTGTCAACATTAGGCGCCTGAAAACATGAGGTTTGAACGAAATACGAAATGTCACACGATTCGGGGTATTTCCCGTGTCTTTTCTAGCCGTTTCCTTCTCACTGTTATGTGACATCTCGATAAGCGGACAAATTTCGATAGTATAAGTATGTGATAATAAGATTGTAAGGTCGGGGTCAATTACATACAGCGCGTTCTCGCACACTGCAAAAGTCTACGGGGGGAATGGCTTAGGATAGTTTCTCCAAAAAAACCTTTACAAAGTAAAACTGTACACTTGACTGTACAAAAACAAATATAAGCCGTAGTTGCATCTCATAAAGGTACAACAGTTCACGTATTGTTGATCATAGTGTGAAAATTGGAGATGTAAACAAACTAAACTCCCCCTTTTCTAACATAGAATCGTCCGCCCAGAAATTTTGCATATATTCCCTGTGGTACAAGCGTGTTTGGGCATGTCTTGCGATTCCTTCCGCCACAGCCTGCGAACTTCACCGTTACATCCATCTCCCACATAATTTTATCAATACTGTTTTTAGCAAGCTGTCCGTGACAGAGATAAGCTGTAAGTATGCCAGCAACGTTAGCAGCAAAGTTTTGTCCGTATAAATGTTTCGGAAATATGATCATGATGATGTCGCTTGTAACGTTACTAGTTGGGGTGGGGGGGTGGGCATCTCAACTCTGGATTTGCACTAAAAGGTCGCACGACCATTTAGCATGGTCAGTTTAGCACTGTTACACCTGAACGAATGTTCTACGGAAAATGCAAGAACGTGAAGCGAAATTTATCATGTGATGTCAGTTCAGTTTGAGGGTGAAAAGTACGGATAGATACGAAAATCATTTCAGTTGATTTTCAGCCAGATTTGTAGTACGAAGGCTCATAGGTTACTCTCCAAGCAGAGGTTGTGGGGAAATGATCGTTAGCTTTTTATATATGGCCTTTTTGCCACCGAAAGGGATCTGCCTGGAGATAGGGACAACATAAGAGATAATATCAATCCTTTTACGTTTAGTCTCTTAAAAATGATGTTGATGCTGGTCATTTTTTGTACATGTATAACCAAGATTTTAAACCCCCTTGGTATAACCTTATTGTGCGATGATAGTGATGTTTTGTGTAAGCAGTTTTATTCATTTGTATTTCGTGTTGCAAGTTCCTACAATGTGTCGTTACAATCTTTTGAGTTTTGCGTAGACAAAAAGTGCCCTGTTTCTGTCTGCCCAGAGTACTACTAGATCTTTGTGTGCGTTGCCGTTTTTCTATGTTCTGCCAGATGGCGCAGTTCACTTTGCATAATGTCCTGTCAGAATATCATTTTGAGGGGGTGAAGTCTGCCATCACTGAATGCCTTGTCTCTCCCTCTCTTTGTTAGGAAGATGGGAAAGGACTGCTGTTCAAATTCACCAGCAGTCAGCTGTTGTCATGCAGGTTGGTTCTTCCACAGTTTGCAGAACATGAGATCGGAGGGTATGTTAGTGGACGTGACTCTGTGTGCCAAGGGAAAAGAGATCCCCTGTCACCGTCTGGTTCTAGCCGCCAACAGCGAGTACTTCAAACTAATGTTCAATGGAAGTCACAGCGAGAGCAGGAAGGACAAGATAGAGATAGGAGGGGTGAGCGCAGAGACACTGCAGCAGTTGGTAGACTATGCCTATACGTCCGAAGTCAACATCACTGAAGAAAATGTCCGGTCCCTGTTTGAAGCAGCGGACATGCTGCAGGATTTTGGGGTCAAAGGTCACTGCGCAGAGTTTCTGCAACAACGTGTTAACAAAGAGACTTGTTGTGGAATATGGGCGCTGGCAGACAGGATGTTGTCTATACGTTTAGCTGAGACAGCGAAAGGCTGCGCTCTGAAATGGTTTGAAGAAGCGTGTGCGACTGAGGAGTTTCTTCAGCTGCCGTTTCATCTACTAAAGGCATACGTCTCAGACAAGGGCCTTCTGGCCAAGAAGGAGGAACGGGTATTAGAAGTGATCATGCTTTGGGTGAGACATGATCTTAAAGAACGAGAAGGGCACCTCAAGGAGCTGCTGAAGTGTATTTGCTTCTCAAGTATAGACAAAGACTATCTCAAGGACATGCTGAAGAGAGACAAGGTGTTGGCAAGAGTTCGTGGAATCAAGCAAATGGCAAAGAGTCGGCCTACAAGTGAAAGCACTCGTGAAATTAGCCAGCAAGAAATTCTGGTTCTTGGTGGCTCTCGGCTTTACTACGGTGACATCCCAGAAATGGGGCCAAGATTGCATTTGAACAGTCGTGTCTACAGACTTGGCCTTGACTCTCAGTGTATAGACAGTGGTCTACTGCCCATGCCCTTTCGTGGGAACAGGGGGATAGCAGCATGTGTTGTTGATGGTGACGTCATTGTGACGGGGGGTCACGAGTCCCTGACCCAAGCCTGGAGGTACCGGCCAGCTCTGAAGTCTTGGACAAAGCTTGGAAGTCTCAAGGCTGGAAGATTTAATCATGGGATGGCAGTTTTGCAGGGACAGGTGTACGTGGTGGGTGGTTCGCGACCAGCAAGCTATCCAGATGTCATTGAGAGGTTGTCCGACGTAGAGGTGTACAATAAGAGGACCAACCGCTGGAAGAAGGTTGCACCACTGAAGCTAGCAGTGAGCAGTTTTGGTATAACCACCTATGGTGGAAAGATCTACATATTTGGCGGCGAGCCATATGTGTATGATGGAAACGACTTCAGGGAGAACCAGACTCAGGCGTTCCAGGGCTATGACCCGTCCCAAAACAAGTGGACTCTTCACCAGTTGCCAATGAAAATGTCCTGCATACAAGCGTGCACAGTCAACTCCAAGATCTACATCGTTGGCGGAAGTTTGAAGCATGTGCTGTGTGTTGATCTCGAGGAAGAGATTGCCAAGCCCATGGCAGAAACACTGTTCCCGTGGGAACAATGCAGCGCCTTCGTCTGTGGTGCAGAAATCTACATATCCGGTGGCAGGGTACATCAAATGATAACTACCAGAAACGGCACTGTGCGTCAGATGGAGACCTACGGCTCTGTGCAGTGTTACAACGTGAACAGTGACACCATGGTGTTATGTAAGGATCTGCCAGAGCCACTGTATGGACACCGCACTGTGACCATAGCCAAGACTTAGTCTGTACACAAGGCTCAGGCATGCCCTCTGGCAGGTGTACTTAGTACTCCAGGCTCCCATGTCCATAACTGACTGTCCTATTTGTACAGTCTTCATTCTTGAGGACTGTTTTGGGATCTCAACTGTATACTGACTTATGTCTTGTCTGGTCGCGAACCACCCACCCTTTCTATTTATGTTATGGCTATTTATGTGTGGCGTCGTGTGGTATAGTGGTAGGGCTTTCGGCCCGGGACCCGGGGGCCCTGGGTTCAAATCCACCTACTACATACCCCGATGTTGTGCCCTTGGGAAAGGCACTTAACACACATTTCCTCATACAGCCAGTCTCTGAAAGCTGTCAAAAACTTTAGAGTTTGACGTTAGGAAGGGCATCCAGTCAGTAAAAACCTTGCTTCAAAAAAAAAGACTTGCACAGGCTTGCTGTTGTGCACCTCAGCATGCTGAGGGGCAAAATGACAAGCCCAAACATGCACCTGTGCAAGCCCGTCTATACCCCCGAAATACGGGGAATCAATAGACGTAAAAAACTCGGTTAAGAAGAAGTCTTGCTCTGCCCTAAATACTGATTAAGCATTTGGTTTGCAGATGGTACTTTTGGTAACAAAACTTCTGCTCCTAACCATGGAGGGAAAATGCATTTTCATTGTATTCAGCCTCTCCGTTTCCCTTTCTATTTATGTTATAACTTTTTACCATCATAGCTATGTATACTTACCTGTATTTCCTAAATTTATCAATTTTTTTCACAAATTGTACTACCGATAATATTAGATGTGAGAATGTTACTTTTTCTAACAGAGTTTCTTGACTAATAATAAATACTGCACTTTTTAATTACCATGTTGTAGAAGTCTTACCATTTTCAAAATATATGTTGTTTTAATATTTTTTTAAGTGTGTTAATCTGTAGAATAAACTTATATAGTAAAAATGTATCAACATTCTTTTTTTTTTTCAACTCAGAATCATAAGTGGTTAACAACATTTTTCTTTTTGCCAGCAGATACTTTTGCCAAGGACTAACATCATGTTGAAAGTTCTGTAGCTTATATGCTAATGCAGTACAGTATCTTAGCAGTATATTGCTACTTGTGTATTTGCTGTAGATACATGTATTCAATTCCATATCATTACTATAGTATCAGATACAAAAGTATTGTTTTGTTTGTGTATCGGTTTGTCCAAGTAGTGATGATTGTGTGGATGGCGGGAGGTGATGTTGACAGTTGATTGACAGGAGGTTAATCCAGAAGGTGACCCAGTATGCCCAAATGTAAGTGGTCATGGGTGGTAGGTCTACATGTATGTAAACAAGTTCAGGAAATGGTGTAGCACTCATATGTTTTAATCAATTAGATTACATCGTGCGATCCCCTCCAGTTCCAGAGGTCTGTGAAATTGAAATCTTGAAAGTTGAAAGTCACCAAAATGCGTCCTGGAAGTTGGAAATCTCTGATTTCTTGTTGAATAAATTATTAGTTTTGACATCCCTTTCATATATACATGTAGAGGAAGAAGAAATCACTCCATATATCAGCTGTTAATGAAGTTTACACACACTCTTTTTATTTGTTTTTCATAGTATGTTTGAAAATTCTACAATTAGAACACACAAATACAAAATAAGTGGTACACACTGTGACATGTAAGTAATACCTGGTAACAAACCAGAAACATAGAATCGGAAAGCAATAGTCTATGTCACAATAACTTTTCTAGGTCGGTGGGCATAACTGTCTTGGCTGCAGTCTGGCACCCAGGGTCCCAATTAGTCGATATGGATCGCTGGGGCGCACTAGAGCGCAAAAGACAGAACAGCCGAATACTACTAGTACATAGTGTTCTCCATGACATTCTAGATCCAATCCGTTACATTCAAAAACACGTTTTTGCCTGTGAACACGCACGTACGTCCGTGGGTAATTTACTTCAGTGCTCAGCGAACATCATATGTAGGTGGGTTATGAGTCTTTGTTTTCTTTTTTAACCTCCATAGCAAAGGTAGGAGGGAGATTTGGGGGGGGAGGGGGATTGGGGTGAAACTAGACTCTAGTCTAGCTGTCAAATACAGTCTGTATTCAGAGAAAAACGAAAGAGCATAAAGTGACTGAATGATTGAAATCCGTTCAAGTGTGCAAATTAAAGACAGTAATATAGTAGACATAAATAGAAATTAAGAAATACGAAGACCCACAGGGACAAAACAATAGATATAACACAGTGCCAATTATATATCCACACCAGTGCCAAACATTCTACAATGGCATGATTGTGAACCCTTTTGAGTTGAGTCTGTTGAAAGCAGATGTTGGGATGAAGTTTTGTTTTTAATTAATTACGCTTTTTATCTGTTTCTTCTCTATGCTTAGAAATGGCTGACAATGACAGTCTTGATCCCGTGGACGGCCTCTACGCAGCCTGGTTCTTCGATGAGTTGCGGACTATGCGATCGGGCGGTCTGCTGGTGGACGTGACCCTGTGTGCCGAGGGAAAAGAGATCCCCTGTCACCGTTTGGTTCTCGCTGCTTGCAGTGACTACTTCCAGGCCATGTTTAGCGGAGGCCTCAGCGAGAGCAGGAAGGACAAGATAGAGATAGGAGGGGTGAGCGCAGAGGCACTGCAGATGTTAGTGGACTTCGCCTACACATCAAGGATCACACTCAACGATGACAATGTCCAGTCCCTGTTCATAACGGCCAACATGCTACAGATTGTGACTGTCGAGAACGCTTGTGAAAAGTTCCTTATTGAGAACGTGAGTCCGGACACGTGCATAGGAATCTGGGCACTAGCAGACAGGATAAACTGTGAAGAGTTGGCAGACACCGCAAGACACTGCGCTCTCAAAAATTTCGAAGAGGCCTGCAAGGCTGAGGAGTTTCTTCAACTGCCCTTTGACCTCTTCGAGAGGCTTGTCTCAGACGACTGCCTTCATGCTAAGAAAGAGGAAAGGGTCTTGGAGGTGGTCATGCTTTGGGTGAGGCACGATCTTGAAGAACGGCAAAAACACCTCAAGGAGCTGCTTGAGTGCATTTCCTTCTCAAGTATGGACCGAGACTATCTCAAGAATGTCCTGAAGAAAGACAAAGTGTTGGCAAAGGTTCCCGGTATCAAGGAACTCACTAAGGATAAGTCTCTGCATATAAGCCCTCGCATAATTACGCAAAACGACATCCTTGTTCTCGGCGGTGTGAAAAATCACTCCATGAATGGGAATGTCAGTTTTAACGAGAGCGTCTGCAGACTCGAGCTCGATTCCCACTGTGTTGAGAGTAATCCACTGCCACAAGAACTTCAGGGCAACTTTGGCTTTGCAGCCTGTGTTTTTAACGAGGATATCATCGTGACCGGTGGTAGCCAGTCCGCCCGTCAAGCATGGCGGCACAAGCCGTCCCAGAAGACATGGAATCGCCTGGGATCCTTGAAGAAAGGGAGGTTCTGGCACGGGATGGCAGTTGTGGAGGGAAGGGTGTACATCGTTGGTGGTCACAGCCGTGGGGACAATGTCGAGAACCGCATGCTGCGTGATGTGGAGGTGTACAACGAGAGGACCAACCGCTGGAACAAGGCCGCACCACTGCTACAAGCAGTCAGCAACTTCGGCCTGACCGCCTGCCAAGGGAGGCTGTACGTGTTCGGCGGAGTGGTTGATCCTGTCACCCGCAACGAAACGGATGCTGTTCAGTGCTACGACCCTTTACAGAAGAAGTGGATGTTCAAGATGCGAATGCCAACCGCGATGGGGAACATCAAGGCGTGCACGGTCGACATTGACATCTTCTTGGTCGGCGGGGGGTTTAAGTGTGCCATGCTCTTCCATGACGGGGGAGAGGATGACACGTATTACGAGGACTTGGCAGACACGCTGGTCCCGTGGGACCACTGTAGCGCCACTGTGTGCGGCTTTGAAATCTACATCACTGGCGGGCAGACCAAACCGGAACTCTTCACCGTGAGACTGTCTGAACGTGCGGGTAACTTGAAATTTTTGCGTTTTGGGAACCACGCCACAGTGCAGTGTTACGACACCATCTTTGACACGATGGTCAAGGTTCAGGATATGCCATTTGCACTTGATGGACACTGCACTGTAACAGTACCCAAAGACTAACAGTAGCAATGCGTGTAATCATGTGTCTGAAGCTGTTTGCACAAGGTTCATTACGATGCACTGGTTCACGACGCATGTGCAGTTTTAGGGGTTGTGGGTGATATTTCAAAGTTGAGAACCCCTGAGGCATAAACCTAGACATGTAAAGTTTGTATCATGGTTCTAGCATGATCTAAACAAGGACCATTGATGTTATTATGTAAATTCATATAAGAAGAGGCTTTTGTCATCTACTCACTAAGTGCTGAATTTCATTTTAGTTAGTCTTAGCTTCAGCTTTGTAATGTGATGTACATTCTTCTTTTGTAGAATTTACTAGAAATGGACAAATATTGCATATGGTGTCTCAGGGGTAGAGTGTTGTAAGATTGGATGGTAGAAATTCACAAATCTGCTTGTCTCACATAACCAATAAACCGCCTTTAGGGCGTAATATATTTCTATATCTTTCTGGTATTATTTTCGCAACGAACAAATGATAATTCGGCCGATTTTGTGCAGATACATTCTCCTAAAAATGTCCAGTTTGTGCAACTGATTTCCGTGGTATTATTACGAACCAAATGTCAGTGGGAAATTGGTATTTCCCCCTTCCGCAATCGTCCGAGAAAAACAGGATGTTATTGTGTTGATGAAGACACCCAAGAATGCTGCTGGCAATGTGTAATCTCCGCCCGTTGCCTACAGCATCCCGACTCATCTCCCCGTTTGTATTTAATATTGAAGACATACGGACGCATAAAAGACAGGGCATTACCTGATCATGATCTCATTCAGACGAAGCTGAGGCTGTCTTCAGTGCGTACACTAAGCGAGAACCATCGATCCTTTACCTGTGATTTTTCGAAATCGTGGAGCCACTGGACTTTCGTCATATCGTCCCACGAAGAACAACGGGGTATTAAAATAGCAACAGCTAACGACACGGCAGAGGCGGTGCGTTCCAATCAGCAAGGCTGTCCAAAAGGTGGTCTCTTCCACTAGGCTACTTCCTGTCTGCATATACTGCATTGCATACGGTGAGACATCTTGCTCACAAACATTTCTGAGACCTTGTTGAAGCCAGTGCCTTGTATGCCGAAAAGGTAGTGCTATAACGGTTGGCCATATTTAGACATTCAAATATTTCAAAGTAAGGCAAAAGATGTTCCCCACACCGTCACCAACGATTCCAGGAGCAGTCCTGTTTCTTCTGTACCTGTCAGTAGCGAGCACTGTACAGGCAAACGTATTCGCGAGAAGGAACGTGTCTCGTATTTACGAGTTCGCCTGCGACCATTGCCAGCTTTTCGAGCTGCCTGCTGACATCCCCTACAAAGAGAGCATCAGGTCTCTGTCTCTCGAATGGAACAGTATCACGAACATATCAAACCTGCCCTACTTAGCAAAGGTAGAGAGCGTCTACATGAGCCATAATCTCATCACAACCGTCCACTGGGATTGGTTTAGCAACAACGTTCCATCATTGGTCCACCTCGATCTCTCGTCCAATCAGATTGCTCAAGTGTCGGGAAGGATCGACGCTCACGTGACCCCAAACGTCACCACCATCAACCTCAGCAACAACAGCATCTCCTCGTTCCCAGAGCAGTCCTTCACGTTCTCGGCCGCAAAGTACGCAGTAGTGGACGTGTCTAAGAACCCGTTTCGTTGTGACAGTCAGTTGTGCTGGCTGTGGAACGAAGTGAGGTGTGTGCAACGTTGTGTGTGGGCGCAGTGCATGCATTTCGGAGTGGCGCACTTTAAGAAGTGTTGCCCAAGTTGCCCCAACAGCTTCCTCTATTTCGGATTGATGCTGGGCAGTGAAAATGAAATATGCGCGAGTCCTGAGCACGTGGAGGGTCAAGTTTTCCGTCGGGCATTGGAGGATGTGTGTGGCACAGGCAACGGCACAGAGACAGAGCAGAGTCAGAGTGCAACAAGTCAACCAGACACGAATGCAACAGCGACCGTTGAACAACTGACAACATCGTACACTTCAACCCAAATAGCGTCTTTAGTAGCTACCACTAGTGCGCCCTTCACTTCATCTTTCGTCAGGGCTCAAGTAACTACGTCGGTAAGTCAAACTACGTTTCCCACAGCGTCCACCGCAAACGCTAAATCGAAAGTGGACACAAAAACTGTCGTTGCTACTGCTTTTGGAACCATAATCTTGATACTAGTTATAGTGCTCCTGTCAGCTTTGCTGGTGAGACAGCGGAGAACGAAACGCCGGCGCGCTAGGATGGCACTTCAGAGGGCACTGCAAGCTAACAACCACCCGCTAGTTGAGAACCAAATGTACGGTACCGCCACCGATGCACAACAGGCATTGCAAGCGGGAAACCAGCTCATTCAAAACCAGAGGTACTTCACACATCTCAACCTGGGAGACCCCCAAGAAGCGATGGTAAACCAAGACGGACCCACAGCGATCGAGTCGTACGCTGGAGCACGTTTGTCACAAGTTGAAGCCAGGGCAAGCCCGGATTGTGCTTCCCAGTGTCCGAGACGCGGAGAACACATCTACACGTCTATCAAAGACGACGCAAACTCTGTACGGCAGATAGTGGAGGCAAACTGCGACCACGACTACGTCAACGTGGAAGGAAGGTATGAGAGGATTCCGAATGAACTTGGCTGTACTGGTATTGAACCGTATGCGGAAGTAGGTTTATCAGACATTGCTGAGGATACTGTGACAGTGCAGGAAGAAAATGACCCTGATATCCAGAACATCTTCGAGTAAATAACAAAGAAAGGGTTGACAACAACAGCTGGTTGTGTCGGCATTACCTCTTTCCCATGAGGAAATGAGGGTTGCGACTGTAGAATTTATTCTCGATACATATCATTAGAACGCTACTTTTAGATTACACAATTTTGTATTAGAATCTAAAAGCTTTTGATGTATTTCTAGTCAGTAATAGCACCAATGAATGATTGTAAACGTAGACGTCCAGTAAGGTAATATACTAGAAGTGTAAATGACAGATATATAATATGGAGGGCCTTAATTTGTTGATCTATACAACTGCAATCACTGAATAATTTGTTTTATTTGATTGTTGTTTATTTGAACCGCTGCCTTTTATGTAATTCTTCAATTGATACTGTCTTGTTTTGCTGTCGTTACTTTAATCATGTGTGAGGATATCAATATGTAACTACTTATCGCAATCCTGAGAAAATATACTAGTATGTCAGTAAAATAAACAAGAATATACTTCTATATATTCTATAAATCGTCCTCGTGTCTATATCTCTTTAGTATCAGAGGTTCGTCCATATTCACGATGAGGTGATAGTAAAAGTTCATGGCCCTCTCGTAACTCTTCACGGATATCCTCTCGTTCACGCCGTGGAATCTGGGTAGGTCTGATGACGTCATGACACACGGGTTGAACCGGTAGATGGCGCTGCTGAGGTTCCAGTAGTATAGTGTGTCCGTGTTGCCTACCATGGTTGTGGGGGCCACCAGGGCGTCCGGGAAGATCTGTGTACAACATGTCTATAAGATTAATATTATGTCACATTTTCTGACACATGTCACAATTTCTGACACATTTCACATTGAAATGTTTGTTTTGTAGCGTGGGTATGACATAAATAAAATACAACACGGTGTACTCCGCATGACCCTCAGTCCCAGCCTTCCCGCGGATGACACTGCATGTGTAGTATTCTATCGTCCTACCTGTTGAATAGTCTCCTGTAGCAGCATATATGTTGGAGAATCTTTCCCGTAAGGTGACGTCGGAGAGGGCTGCCGACTGTTTATGACGCTGAACTTGACTCTGGGATCATTGACGACCTTGAGGTCAAACTCCATGACTTCTTCCACACTTGACGTTGGGTGTATCCGGTGGTCTATCACGGCCGTGGCCCTGGGCGAGATGACGTTATCCTTGACCCCAGCGTTGAAGCGTGTCAGGGCGGTCGTCGTCCGGGCCAAGGCGTTGGTCTGCGGCTTTCTCGAGTACACCCAGGCGACCAATGGGGAGAAGAGCCAGAGGTTAGAGGTCAACATCCGGTAGGGCAGGGTCATCTCCGTGGCAACGTACTCCAACATCCGGGTCTCCGGACCCGTCCCAAACATGTTAGGGTGCGGGCTGTCCTCAAGCTTACTGATAGCTTTGGAGAGAATTCCTAAAGTAATAAAGAAATTGGGCATGGAAGATTAAGTGGTCAGTAACAGGATCCAAGAAATGACTTGGATATCTAGGAGAGCAGGTAAAGACGATTTGATGATAATAAAGAAGAACTGACTGGCTAAAACAGCACACTCCTACTTACCGATAGCCGACTCAGATCTAGGTATAGAGGCGTGGCCTCCTTCTTCATCCACCTCTAAACGCAGCTGCAACCCGCCTTTCTCAGCTACACTGATGAGGGCAACTTGTTTACTTACACCTGAAGGATGGGAGGAAGAACGTATGAACAATTTAGCGGTAATATATCCACCAGATGGATTTACGGTATTGTACCTGTCCTTAGTACTGAATGATGTACACACTGGCGTTGTTTCTGAATGGTGTGTACGCTGGCACTGTTGTGTCTGTCCTTGGTACTGAATTGTGCCTCTATCATCAACTCATTGGCCATCATAACTTTTCCCTTTGTGTTTAAAACAAGAAGTTAGACCCTCCAACCGTACGAAGAAGTAAATATTTGAGCCTTTTCCGTAGCCATTTCTCAGGCTATTAAACCCGCATCTAGCATCGGCACCGGCATCGCCCCTCAGGAAGACATCTGAAGCCGAGTTCCCGATTAGAACATTTCTTCAGGCTGCCACACTATTCAGGCCTCAAACTACAAAATTCCAATGACTGTCAGAATATGACATGTAGAGACTCACCCGGCAGAAGACCGTCTCCTACAGGAGTTCCTTCATCGAGAATAAACGCCATTTTCTCTCCCTGTTGAGTCAACACGTCAGCAATGACCTTCGCACCAAAATGGCCGCCCGTCTCCTCGTCATGTCCAAAGGCGAGGTACAAAGTACGTTTAGGTTGACGTCCTCTCGATAGAAGAAACTCCACGGCTTCCAGACACCCCATCAGAGTGTGTTTTATATCTATGGTTCCTCTTCCGTAGATATAACCATCTTTGAGTTGTCCTGAAAACGGCGGCGCCTCCCAGTTTGCTTCCTCTGTGGCTGGCACCACGTCCAGGTGAGACGCCAGCATGTAGGGTTGTAGCGAGGCGTCCGAACCAGCCACTCGGTACAACAGACTGTAGTTCCCGACGACCTGCCTCCGGACCAGCGGCGAGCCGTGAATCGTCGGGAAACTCTCACGGATGAACTGGATGAACCTGAACAGTCAATCAGTCAATCAATCAATCGAAAGATCGATCAATAAATCAACCAAAGCCTCTATTTGGTCGCTATATCTTGGTCAGCCATATATGG